AACAAGTTGGGATGGATGCTCAACTCCCGCGTCACACCTTTCTCCTCACTACCTATGTGCTAACACCTAGGTCATCAGGCTTCTCTCACCCGCCTTTGATCCCTCGTCCCGCCCCGGCCCGCCCCGTCCCGCCCAGGCCCGCACTCTCATGAACCAATTTATCATTTTACATCACCAGGTCAATTGATCGTTTTCATGGGAAGGTCAAAGGCGTCTTCTTAAATTATTCCCAGATGATATTAACAAAGAAAACTTTTCTATGTATTGTCTAGATAAGTTAATACCTCCCTCGTATCAAGATAGCAATAGGATCTTGACTAAGTTTTCTTGTCGTGAACTAAAGTGATTAACGTGGGTAACCTGCTCCGAGAGAGAGACCCGGCCGACAAAACAGGACACTCATTAGCGAGTCGTCAGCTAATGATCTGGTCACTCTTTGTAAGGTGAGACATGTATTCTTGATACAACTTGCACTTGGCCCCAGAGATCAGTTCACAAAGCGCTATCATTAACTCAGTATATTTTAGGTAATATTTTTGATTCACAATAATTTTATGATTATACTGGACTATTAATTTTGATCAGTGATGCCTGTCTGTCTTTCCCTGCACGGCTTGTGTTACAGAGTTGATTTCCGCTCAGTAACTTTCCATGGGTTTAACTGAACTTCTATTCTACCAACACTGGACAAATGGATCATAACACGGTATCACAGGACGTCTAGTAATTAATGTTGACTGGAGGGTGGGTGTAGGTCCAGCACCAGGGAGAACAAGACCACACATAAGAACATTACAAAATAAGGAGTCTGCAATAGGCCGGTTGGTCTGTGCATGGCAGCTCCTGTCGAGAGTTACTACCACTCTCTATCATCCATGAATCTATCTAGCCTCCCTTTAAAACTTTCCAGCGTTCCAGCACTTACTACAAAGTTACTAAGCTTGTTCCACTCGTCCACCACCCTATTTGTGAACCAGTTCCTTCCTATCTCCCTCCTAAACCTAAACTTATCCAACTTAAATCCGTTGCTCCGAGTCCTATCTTGCTCGGGTATTATAAGAACTTTATCTATATCTCCTTTATTGATTCCTTTCACCCACTTAAATACTTCTATCATATCTCCCCGCACTCTTCGTCTTTCTAGGAAATGCAAGTTAAGTTTCTTTAATCTATGGAAGGTTTCGTCTTTATTTAAGACATCTTCAGAGGCAAATTTTATTGTTCCAGGTTGATTGTAATTATGAATAGCAATGTTTTTTTTAAGTGTTTATTTGACCTTAACTTTAACAAATTAAGAGTAAACACGTCTGCCCTCTCCCTCTCTCTAAATAGGAAGAGCGTGAATATTGGGTAACACATAACATAACTAATTGTATATGCGTTGGACAATATTCTCACTCTTCGTTCTTTTATATCGTTGTTACTACAGTACTGTATTTCATTCTTGACGTTGACATATCACAAGAAGAAATTCCTGATGACGTCACGAAGTCAACCACTCCGTAGAACAAGTTCGTTATACCGGTGTAGCGGACCAGAAGTTGCCCCGGTGTAGCGGACCAGAAGTTGCCCCGGTGTAGCGGACCAGAAGTTGCCCCGGTGTAGCGGACCAGAAGTTGCCCCGGTGTAGCAGTTAAAAGTGAAGCGTTAGGTAAAAATCAAAGACTATAATAAAGACAGGTAAGCAAGGTGAAAACCGCGTAAGCCACCATCACCCGTATGCCGTTTGCACACATACAAAAGCAATCACCCTGAGCTTGTGTTTCACGTTTTTACGTTACTATATGTATCATTGATCATATAGAATTTACTGTGTGATATTGTATGTGTGTGTATGTGTGTATGCATGTGTACACATTAAGAACATCAAGGCAAAGACGTCAAGGTAATATTATTACCTTGACGTTCTTAATGTGTACACATGCACACACACACACATACAATATCACACGTTTAACACAAGCTCACTCCGCTGGTTACCATAGACACGCTACCCTCACGCGACCCGGGCCTTTAGTTAATCGCGTTGCCAATAGATGGTGTTGATCAGAGCTCAGTGGCTCACAACACATTTTCTATGATGACCTTAAATATTTATGGTAAAATTAAATCGAGAGATGGCGCAGCAGTCAGGGGCTAAACGTTAATTGAATGTAGTACAAGTTTCTCTACATATTCCTTCCTTGGTATAATTGTGACGTCTCTAGTGAGCCGTGACTGACCAAATATAATCATATTGAAAAATTAATATCACGGGTATCCTTAATTTTCGGCGGAAATATTATTGAAGAAGGGGGTCTTAGAATTGTCTAAATATTACGAAAAACATTAATAACAGCGAGAGAAAGACCGGTGCATGACAAAAAATTCATATCCTATTTTCACTGATTATATTAAGGAATACTGTACTGTATTATGTTGGGGAAAAAATATTAAAATGGCTGAAATCATGTACTAACCTAAGAAAACCTGGCCTGACCTGACCCGTGTCTTAACTCGCCTATATCTAGAAAACTAAGCATTTGCACAATAAAATGAATAGAAGGTAGAGAATAATTAGTGTACAAAACTGTGGTATAACTGTAATTTCAGACAATATGGACCTAGAGTTGAGCAATGTGTTTTTCCGAGTGTTTAGACAATTTTAAGACACTTCTTTTATAACGTATCCCTCGCAAATTACTTAAATATACCGGAATCATTATAGAAGAAAAGTGTCTTAAAATTGTGTAAACAGTCGGAAAAACACATTGGTCAACTACTAGGGGTTTAGTCCATAACTGCAGTATTACCAAAACTCTTAAAAAACTCATAATTACTTAACCACTGACGGTCACCAGCCGTATATTTGCCTTTGCTGCTTTATTAACTTTCGAAAATTAGTTACTAGAATTAAAATAAGCACATACCTGCATCTGCTGTTTCCCATACACAGGTAACGTGGTACTGTAGTTGTGTATAATTTATAACTGGCAAAGGTGACAGCTTCGCTACCAGGTAAATTTGTTTGTTTACTAATATTCTGGTTACCTGAGCATGGGCAGTTCCTTTACCTTTATCGCATTTTACTCACTATGAATAAGGGTACAAACGTGATTTAATGGCCTATATATTATGCTAGACTATTTATAATAATCTAGAATTCATTTAACCTAGTCATACCGTCATATATTAATATACTGTATAGACAGCTGTTAAAAACGTTTATGCATTAGGGGACATCTTTCTTTTCCTATCCTCGAGTTGACCTCGACCTCGAACCCAGGAGGTAATGGAGAGTGGCACGCACACTATCGGCTACAGTATACCAGTTAAAATATTATTTTAGGAATAATATGATAATGAATTATGTCTAACGACCTCAAAAATTAATAAATTGGTCTTGACAATCGTTTCAGAATCATAAATAGAACAATCAGCTGTTACTGCACAAATCCTCGATATAATTAAAAAAAAATGTTTTATCTAAAACCCTCAGCCATGACACATTCTTATCTTATCCTCTACGAGCTTTATAATAAGGGAAGTGGAAGGCAGTAGGGAGAAGTGCTGTCTATATTGTCTACAATGGCCAGAATCTAGACAAGTATGAATAACTGTACCAGAACAGCATACCAGGCAAAGGCTATTATAGTCTTTGATACCAGGAGTTGCCGCCCATTAGGTAACTTCTGGTCTGCGTATAGGCGGACCAGAAGTTCCCCGTACCGAGTCACAATTCTATCCTTCATGGGCGTCCGCAGAAGGGGGGGCAAGGGGGTATTACCCCTCCATAGATTCATTCATTAAATTTTCATCATTTGCATCGTGTTTTATATATATATATATATATAAAAGAATAGCCCAACCTACAATGTAAACAGAAGTGCTTACTGCATTCCATGTAGCAATTGTAATGTAAATTATGTACGTCAGATTGGGAAAGCATCGCAACCTAGAATAAAATAAAGACAATAATAAGAAAGACAGGAAAGCAAGGTGGAAACCGCATAAGCCACATAGCATATAGTTAACTGCGGGATCAACAGATGGCGATAGTGTGCAAGGCACGGATCGTCTGAACGTTGTCTGTCAGGGGTCCACAACCTTTCTTTTTCCGGCCGGGAATTGTTATACATACAGCAAGATGAATGACGTTCAAAATTCGGGCTATGCAGCCGGTGTAACAGTTAAAAGTTAATTCTAGGTAAAATTGCAGACTATAATAAGAAAGACGGGAAAGCGTCTACCTTTACCGATAAAAAAAAAATGTGAGCCACTGAGCTCCGATCAACGGCATCTGTTTGGTAACGCGGCTAACTAAAAGCCCGGGGCGCGTGAGGGTAGCGTGTCCATGTTTCCATGGTATCCAGCGGAGTGAGCTTGTGGTTAACGTTTTCACGTTGGTATATATCACTGATCATATAGAATTTACTGTGTGAACCACATACTGTACTTTTTTGTATGTGTGTGTGTCTGTGTGTGTGTGCATGTGTACACATTAAGAACGTCAAGGCAAAGACACCCTTCTCATAAAAATTCCAGTAAAATCCTTGAGCATTGCTCTCGCCTTGAGGATTCACTACGCTTCTTGAAAGCAAAAGGTGGGCAATCCTCAAAGGGAGATCCCAAGCTAAACGATCTTGAATACAGCCATGTCTATGGACTCCCAGAGTTAGTTACTATTGAAGGAGGTGACACGGGGCAGGAAAACAATACAAACAGTTCTAGCAACAAGACTGATACCCGGGCAACATTTTTGGTAAACCACATGAACAATGACAGATACCACATGAACAATGACAGATACCACATGAACAATGACAGATACCACATGAACAATGACAGATAATCATCGAGTCTCAAGCCACAGGCAACCCTTGATGCACCATCTAGGGCTGCAGAAACCTAAACAAAGGGGCAAATGGCTAGGAGTAAAGAGTATGGTAGGAGACAGGTGTTGGAAGCACCAGGAAACGTCCCTTACAAGAGTTACACTGTTAGGATAAATAAGAAGAGACTCTGTGAACACATGGCTTTATTGATATGTCCCTCCACAGTAGTGTATAGGAAAGATCCTCACACTGGCCAGTTTTGGCTCAACATTATTAATGTGGATCTTTTGAGGGTTACATTAAAGCCTTAAATTTCGTGTTATTTGCTGTGTGTATGATATAGGATGTTTCAGGTGAAATAGAAAATAGCAAGTATCACAATTTCAATACAGAAGCCATCATTCTCCAAGTGTTGTTACATACAATGTGTTTATAGAAGTCAAGTGCTAAAGACTGAATGTGTAACATATCCAGATATCTTCAAAATCCTGATCTAGTACAGTACTGCAATTCCAATACTGTACTCCAATTTATGGCACCCAACATATGATGTGACAATGTAAAACTCCTTTGATACAAACCTTACTTACTGTAGCCACAAGTTGTTCTTAAGAAAAAAAAAATGCTGCAGAAAGTCCTACCTGTAATATGGGTCATTCTAACTACTGTACCTTATAATCAGAGGTGTCCTGATTAATTCTGATGATGTTTGGGGTTGGTCAATACAAGGTGAGTGATAGGAGCTCAAAGACATCTTCCTTATATTCAGAAGACTATACTGATAATAACATTTATTATTTTGTCTATACTGTACTGTACTTACCTCACACTGACCACAAAGACTGTGTTGGTCCACGTGGGCAGGACCCTCTGTGTGGTACTGTGCTCATGAGCTGTTCCCTCATATTAACTATAAGGTTTGTATCCTCAGGGTTTTACTGCACTTGTTTAAAAAAATGGGATGTATTTGTAATAGAATTTTTAGACTAATTCAATTGTTCTAATATTTGACTTGAAACAAAACTGTTACTGAGTATTAAGTATTTAGGTTTTAATATTCAATACATTAATATTTTACTCCAATATTACTCTTTTTAATGCTTCTCATGACATAACGTGTCAAGAACAATATTTATGCTCTATAACTGTTGCAAAATCATTATTCAGTAATCTGAAAGAACCTGACTTCTTTTATTTATCCTCTTAATGAAGAAATGGGCACATCAAGTATTACAATAACAAAAATTACCAAGTTGTTGATTGGGTGAAAAATGTAATTTGGAATAAGTCATGCATGGCCTGGTGAAGTGAGATGTAACCATAAGAACTTCTCTGACAAACATGATGAGGTTCTACTTTTAAGATGAATGTCGTGCAAATACAACACCTGTAATAGTTACTGAGGACTGTATTATACAAGTAACAATACTCCTGTTTCAAAGATAAAGGACATGAAAAATATTGTACAGGAAATTCATATAATTTTAAACACTAATTTTATGACTTTGTATACAGCAAGTTCATTTGTTTTTACAGAGAATATTTTTATGCAGATACAGTACGATCACAAAGAGTTTAGGTTTATTTATATATATATATACTGTGTTCATCATGTAGAAGGCTCTCCACATGACCCTTACATCACATTATTTGCATATTATGGAATAAATGTAACCACTTATCTCTCGGACAATAATAATAAACAAATCCTACAAGTATGAAATTGTATACTGTAATCATGATATTGAAAGAACTACTGCACTTATTTCCAACACATTTTTTTAGTTATACGGCAACCTCAAATACTTACACACAGTTATATAATTATCAAGTTAAATTGAAAACCACAAGAAGACCAACCGTTGTGTCACGTAACTATACTAGGTCATTATCAGTGCAGCTCTACCCTTGAGTTTCTTGAGCTCAATCTGTTAGCCACCAAAACAGATTCCATCATCTTGAGAAATAATGATTCAGTCAAGAAATTAGATATAACCCTTCCCATATTATATGCTTACACACCAAGGCAATGCTCAGTGTATGCGAGAATTACTTTATTTTTGTATTATCAAAGGCACATAAAAGTCACATGCGAAAATTAATATTTCTGATTTCAGACAACACGAATGACGTCCATGTTCACGGCCCCGGAATGGATAACAACATTAGTTAGACGTAACAATGTTTGACTCTCTGTTGCTTTGAGGAACACTAAACATTTTACAGCCCATAACATAATCTTTCACTCTGTCTCTCTTGGTTACTCATAAAGACACCAATCATTCTTATTTTCTATTGCTAAAGTGCTTAACATTCTTTTGGTTACTCCAAGAAACACTGTAAATGTCCTTAATTCCAGCATCAAAATTCACAACATTCCATGAAGTGTAAAGTTCAGGACTGTATATGAATAAAATATATGAGCATAAGTAGTGTTATATGAAAAGACGTCCCTTATATGAAGAAAAAAAATCAAAATAGTATAGTGTAAATTGTTCAGTATAGTACTAAGTGTAATGTATCATGGAGCAAGGCAAAATTATACTTGATAATGGAATGAAAGTTGACTAAATCATAACAAACATCACATTACTGAATGTGTGACTTTACCCAGGAAATGGCACACAATTGTTAATATTGAATTGGGTGTATACAGTATGTGAAGCATTGGTGGATGTACAGAAAACATAACACCAACCCCAATAAAAAAAAGAGTGACATTTATCCATTTCACGGGTAAGGTCACAATTAATTATTTTTCTGTTATTTTAGGCAACTGTCTAGCTGTTGATGACGTCTGTGGCACTTATCTTAGCTCAGGTCACAGATGAGGGCACAGAAAAATGATTAATAATATGATTCTAGATAAAAAGAATTTCACTAACTTGAAATTTGAGAATACTTCCAGCCCGATGTACCGTACACTTCTTAGGCAACGTTCAAGATTCACAGGCATGAGCTGGGGGCTGCCCTGTCACTGGCACATTGTTGATATGTGTAAACCACTATTTATTGCACACAATTTTCTTTTGAAGTTATATAAAGTTTACCAGCCCAAAAATTTGAATTAGCCCCTAAAATAAATGAGTCTACAGGCTACTGGCTCTTTGAAAATGTTTTCCTAAATTGAACCACAATATTCTTTGATGAACCAGGATAATCTTGTACACAGCATGTAACAATTTATTGTCAAGTTTGTCTTGGATATTATTTCAGGCGTCTAAGAGATAAAGCAATACGAAGATCTCATCATTTCTGTAAACTGAAATTCCTTTATAAGTGAGTTTATACATGTAAACAAGTTTTTCCAGAGCTCTTAACTGCTTTACTATAACAATTCAATGTAAGAATTTTTTTTAGATATGGCTGGACAAGCATTGGACAGGTTGATTACAGAACTCTGCACCTACACTTTAATGCCACAAGGCTGTTTCACTTTAGAACCATAGCTGCTGCATAGTGAAAGAAGGTACAGTACAGTATGTTACATGGTTGATACATATATAAAGACAAAATAAAATAATATACAGTAGAACCTCATTTATATTGCAAGACACTCTCCTCCAAAAAAAGAACCAAACAATATATTGATAGTAACAAGAGAAGAAAGGACAGAGTAATAACAAAAATGGATTTCCAGTTGATTACCATCCATAGAGGCAAAAAAAAACAGGAGGTTGTGACATGGTTGTAGGCTGGGGTGTTGTGATGGGGTCTTGGGGTAGGTATTTCATGAGTCTTAGAGCAAGGATGATATAATGGTCTATGAGGTAGGGGTGTCCTGATAGGGTGTAGTGCAAGTCATGGGTATCATAAGAGGGTGTAGGGATAGGGGTGTAGGGTAGGTCATGGGTGTTATAAGAGGGTGTGGGGACAGGGGTGTAGGGAGAGGGGTGTAGGGTAAGAGGGTGTGGGGACGGGTGTAGTGCAAGTGGAAAATACGTGTTTATAGCAGACACACAGGAAGTGATCTTGTCCTGCACTCTGGCTCAAATAAGTTCTATTTTTAAGCACGATCTTTTTGGGTTTCATGTAAAATAGTGACCTTTTGCGTCTGAACATTAGAAAATTTACTGTAAATGATTCACTTACACAGAAGAATTTACTAAAAGAAACTGATGTAATTATTTTCATTGAAGCATTGATCTCTGTAAATACTATCTGGTAAAATTCTGCTGCCAAGAAAAGTATATCATAATTTTGGTATTAATAAATCATAAGAAAACTACATGTTCAAATAAATGATACTCAAATACTTTTTAAATGTAAACTAAAACATAACTAATAACTATCATTCTTCAAAACTCTCAGTGAAAACTATGAGCATCATACACAGTTCGTAAAGCCACAACAAATTTCCTTTCGTGTAATGATGCCAGTACAGTACACTACAGCCACACATTTTCTTTACTGTATTACGATCTCTGGTTTGGGTTTATAAAAATCAATATTAACAACGGTGAAAATATTAATCTATCAGAGAACTTTTCTTTTTTCTTTCTTTAAATTCAACTCATGTTTTATTTATGATCTAGAAAATATTAAATATATAAATAATGAACATATTTTCACTCAAATATCATTTACTACAAGTAATGTAATTCTTACAATACCAAAGAATCCTGTCAAGAATGTAATACTGACAATAATGCATTCTGAGGATGACTATACAGAACACAAATAGACCAAGTGTTAAAGGAGAGGAATAAAAGATCTACAGAGATAATATTGCCAACTTTACATGAATCAATTAGAAAATATAAAGTATTAGCTACTAGATTGTAATACAGTAATATTCCCTGGTGAGCAACTCCATGCTGCTTTAACCTTGAAGTGACGCTTCAAAAGTCACGATGTCAGTTCAGTGTTGATTCAACGTTGAAGCAGCATTTTGTGCCCACCATTTCATTTTTATTCATCATCCCATCGTAGAAAATTATGGATTTTTATCTTCAAACTCCGGTTATTTGTAAAAAATTTCATAGGATTAATATACCTACATACCTAATCTAGGTAACAGAAATAACCTTCAACTTTCTACTCAACTAATCTACACCTAAGATATCTATTACTGTGGTAGGCACTGATGTCTAGTAACACACGGAACAAACTCAGAAAGCCAATAACAAAACACGTACACATTTATGTGGCTGTCTCGCATACTACTTACAGTAACAATATGTAAATTATCTACACAATGTACAATAATTTACACACAATATTCAATACATTTACAACACATATTGTAAAAATTATTAAGTATTCTACAATGTAATACTAATTTTATAGCACCAGTGCACTACCAGTGTCTATCAAAATAAGAAATTTACAATATTTCACATACAGTACAAGATATAACAATAAAAAAAAAACAGTCATTAGTTCAGAGGAGCTTTATATTAGTGTTGTTAGTTATGCTGCAAGAAGCCTACTGGTACACTGATTCAGCTGCTGAAATGGATACAACGTGTTGGCGATCCATCAACTATTAACGCACTGGTGCTCTTCCTCTGGGAGTGCAGGAGACATTTACTGAAAGAAATCCTTACCCATGATATGCATCCTTTATTTACTGATAACAAAGACTCAGACACTCCAACTACATCTCTGACATAATGATAGAGTGTTAACACCTATGTTCTATCGGGGTAATTCTTCCCACGTCTCTCTGCCTTATCATTATAATTGTTACTTTACTTGTAATGGAAAAAAATTTGAAATCAACTTTTATTTTTTCAAACCCCTTCACTATGGGGACGCCTCTTTTAATATTTTATTTGGCTAATACAAAATGATTTTATTCAGCAGAGAGAGGACCCTGTACACAAAGGGTTGATGATCTAATTGACCAAACAACTATTGTCAGTTTCAAATTCACAAGAGACTTTAACTTAGAGGAACCAAAGGATTGATTAAAGTTTACACTATCTGACCCACAAAAGCAAAAATTCATCATTTAAACATTTCAAACTGTCAGTGATAATTATGTTATACACGAAATTCATCAATAAACTTAAATAATCCTCCACTACTAGGCATGATTTATCACGAGTCAGATTTAATTACTGAATTATAAAACTCAATTTATTAACATATCCTACATACAAAAAAGTTTGTTATAATAAGATTAAATATTACAAAATTTTAATACCACTGTATGATATAATTTATTGCACTTTCATCATATTCTTAATAAAAAAACAACAGAGTTTGTTCCTCATCCCAAAAGTTCAAATTGGTTATTAAGATATTAAACATAAGGAAAGTTAAATTTTGAAAGAGATCCAGAGAATGTGTGTAAATTTCAACGGCATCACAATCTTCTGACTGTGTGCTAAATTATGTAGCTATAAGATCAATAACAATCCTTGTTCCTACCAGTGAGCAGTTAACCTAGTCAACATCATTCACTGTCGCCTATATGCAGCAGCAGCAGAAGCAGCAGCGGCAGCAAGTTTGGCGTGCTCTTGAGCCACTTCCATTTTCTTCTGCTCACTGCCGGCGGCCACATACGAGAACACACACAGCACTGCATAGCAAATCTGATCTGCCTGTTGAATTATCTTGCATTAGGAGAGCATAATTTAAATAAACAACAGCAAGTTCACCTCCATTAATCACTAAACATCATATTTTTCCCATCTCTGCAACCCTTTCTCAGACTTGACAATTTTCACTATCACCCATTCTTACTTTAGTATTCATATTGCTCCTTCTATTAAGACATTAAATAACCAAGACAATCTCCAAGCCACATTTTCTCAAAGTGTCTGAGATATGAGATGCCATGCCCACTTGTGTGACAACTATAAAGGGCCACATAATAGTCTTCTACTAAAAACATTATCTGTACATCTAAAATATACAGTACGTACTAGCTGTGTATTTCCTAAAGCCTCCATGTAGGCACTGGATATACATAGTTTTCCTGGCTTATCCTTCTTAACTATTACCAGAGTCAAAAACTTTAGTATCCTGTTCAAGTCCTTGTTTAAGAGGAACACGGAGGATGCTGTCTCTACGGAGCTTACCACACTGAAGGAAGCTGTGCACTGCTCGGAGAAGCAGGGTGCAGTATGCTCTCTCAGTTTAAGACTTAGGTATGTATTGTACCTCCATAAATTCTATCCATCCCACAACATTAAACCTAAACAGTACCTGTACAGTACAGTATTTACCGGTAAGCCGTAGATATACACATACAGTACGTATATAATAACATGTACGTAGAGTAATGTACAGAAAGGGATCACCAACTTAACTTACCATCGCAGATTTGTATTTCCGTTGTATAACGTGGCGGGTTTTGGGATCTGAAATAAAAATATTCTTAGAATACAAAAATTAATAATCAATTCATTACAGAGCATTTTTCCTAGATGCTTGAGCCCATAATTTCCTAAGTGTTTTCTTGAATTTCTCACATAATATTATGATGCTATCTACTGATTAAACCTTGCTTGACAGTTTACAATTTTATATCAAATCAAACAATGAGTTAAAGAAGAACATATTAAAAACTACTGATGTTATCAAAAATTACCTGTACCATTTAAAGGCCACAACATGAAGCAATGTACAGTACAGTTTTTTAGCAGCATCTCCGTTAAATTGAACAGCATTGAGACATTTAGAAACTACGAATGGTGAAGCATATATCTATACTGGTTACTTCTGTAGCAAATTTCCCAAATCATCACCTGAGGAAAACTTGTGTTACTGGTGGAAGGAACACAAGACCTACCCAGTAACATTCTCTGGTAACCTAAGTGAGTTCACTGTTTAGTCACAAGAAGAGGATCACCCACTTCTTGACCAGTTTCTGCCTCACAACTGTCTTCATCAAGCTCCTCTCACCTCATGGCATGTCCTCTGGATTGAGTTGTCCAGCCCACAGCTGCTGGTATCTGGCATTCCCTTAAAGTTTGTTGTGAGGTGACAGCAGTTAGTCTCTCTCTCTCTCTCTTACACACACCATCATTACAGCTGATTGGTTTAGCTTAAATACAGTAGTAAGCAGACCTGGACAGTGCTGTTATCTATTGCATTCTCTTTACAGTACAACAGCTCTCAGGGCACGTTTTAGCTCGAATAAAAATTAATCGTCTCTTATTGTCAGTCTGAACCTGGTCTCAGTGCTGTGTAAGGATGTCTGCTGTGCTCTGAGACTCCTCTTATGCACCCCAAGTGGTAAACAGTCACTTATAATGGGTTTATGATGCTCTTTTAAATGCAACCACCTCTCATTGTCACCATCTTCCTTAAAACCATCCCAGGAAGGACCACCATCCCATAGGTCAAAATCTATTAAAGTTGAAACCCCTCCCATAATCAAGGAAAAAATTACCACTACCACAATCCAGAAAAGTATCAAACCTTTGCTAAAAATCCAAAAAATAATCTCTCCAACAGGATGCTTCAGGTACCAGCAGCCATTATTTTTAGACATTTACTAAGCCTGTTCTTGCGATATGTTTCCTCCTGTTTCTACTACTATACTGAGTGGGACTGCAGTTGTAACCCATTGCATCTCTTCAAAAATTCCCTGTTACTTGAATAATCTCTGCTTAAAATAGAAAACATTATTAGACAGCAGATAAATAATGTTAAGACAAGTTAAAGAAATACATGGGTAAGTCAATAATGGTGTATTACTTACTGTACTCCTCCAACACAAATATTCCTCCCTTCTGAGTGAAGCACTTTCTGATATGGTCCAACCGAACGAAGAACTGAAAGAAAACGATATTGAAAACTCTTAAACATCTACCAAAGCTCTGGGCTATGAGCAATAACCCGGATGTTGATGACAAATACAGGCTACTAGCAATCCATAACCAACTCCTTCACAAGTGTTCCTTAGTATGAGTCTCTACATAATCTTTACTTTAAGTATGTACAGTACAAGCTTATCCAATAATCTGCAGAGGCGGCACAGAAACTTCAAAGAGCATGACTTGAAAAATAAAATGAATCAATGTATTCACTCCAACACCTGATGCAAGTACAAATGTCTAAACTGTATTCATGAAACAAAAGTATTATAAATATATCAGTGATTTTTATTGTACCTAAACAGTACAGTACTTACATAACTTGACGTCACATTGTTTCAGTGCAATTTCTGGCAGACTAATGGTGATGTTATTATTCTTTAAAAGCTCTAGTCATGTTTACACAAGACAGACGTAAGTACAGACTCCATTAAGGGAAGTACTCTTTTCTTTTTTTTTTTTTTTACTTTAGGAAGTGAACTCAAGACCAAACCTTAGGCGGTGATAGACTGCCGATGAGTTAGACAGCAAATATTACTGTACACAAAACACTTAATATAAAATCAATAATTTTCAATCAACAAGAATTTACAGTTGTAAACCATCAAACTAATCAGCAATCTTTTTTTTTATAAAATAAATAAATAAAAAATAAATAATTACTACTTATATAACAGATAGTATACAGAAGTGTCAGGATCAGCACCTTTATATTTAGTTGGTAATGTAATTAATACTGTGTCTTACAGCCACTGAGAGATAATATTGCATAGAGTACTGGTAATTAGCTGACTGCTCTGTAGTTTCATAACAAGCTGAGCCTGACACACTCAAAGGCATGGAGAGGGAGACTGAATGCGTAGCATCAAAAGATAAATTAGTAAGGTGTTATGTGTCTAGCCACACAACACCTAAGAGTAATGCACCAATCTTAACTCACACTATAGCTTTCCAATGTTTTTGATGATAGTACTGAGCTGATACACAAATTCTTTGGAACAATTTGTCTACTTTCTTCTCTCTCAGTTGTCTCTCCATCCCTTCTACCATCCATCTGTACAGATGCCTGTTTTTGGTCAAAACACAGACAGAAGTGAGCATGCAAGAGAAATAAGAACAAATGCAGAATAAGAAGAAAGAAAAGGGATTTAGGGTTTGCAGAGGAGTAAAGGAATTGAATCCCACGTGTAGTTTTCCCTAGCACTAATTTTTTTGAATTTCTGATACCAAGGGTCAACGTTGACTCTTTGCAATAAAGATCACATATTTTTGGATATAATCTTCTCATATGTAATCTTAGAATGTCTGTATTCTTGACATGTGTGTAAGAGTTTAGATATATAATAGCATCTTTTATCTATTTCATTTGTTTACAAAAAAGCATTGAACATAACATGGAATGAGCCATGTGTTTATCTTTGTAACTTCCAGTCTTTCAAGGCTCAAAATAAGAATATTTCAAAAAATGGAATTTAAAAGATGAAACAAGAAACAGCATTAGAAAGAGCAAGTAAAACACAATGCCCATAACCTCACTGATAAAAGGAGTCACAAATCATGGTGAAATATTGACTTTAATCTTAATGGCAGAGAAATAAAATCAAGGTAATTTTAAAATGAATATGCTGTGTAAATCAGTCAGATCAAGGCATATTGTGTATATGTTAGCATACCAAAGCAAACAGATCTAAGATACACGCACCACTACAAACTATTGTCTATACTTCAAATCAACCAACAAAATCAAACAAGGAATACTTCAGAGATGGTCAAATAAAAATAGGGACTCTGTGTGTGTGCGGACTGGGAAGATCTGATTGGTTGGAATATCATATTCCTAGTGCTGATTGGCTAAGAAATTACAAACTTCCAGTGCTGATTGGCTCTAACGTTACAGGATTCCTAGTGCTGCCTGGCTAAACTCAGAGACTCCTTGTGCTGATTGGCTAGGACATGCTTCTGGTGTTTGGCAACCGACCAGACACACGATTCTGCAGAGCTGGTCAAAATGGTGGTTGGGTTTGCCATAAAAAACATAAAATATCACAGGGAACTGAAAGGTAGCAAAACAAAACTGGATAGTTACCACTGGTACTGAGAGAAAGGGATAACAGTGTCTAGGGTAAGACCAGGTGTAGGGTGGGGGAGAGGACTTAGGACACGCGTGGTAGAGGTCAACAAAACAGAACCACTATTCACAACTACAGCCAAGTACTGCACTACACGAGTTATACTGGAGTCCAGTATCTCTTTCCATATTCACCTCGAAATCCTTTTATGATGAAGACGGCGAGCAGGGATACAAAAAAGGAAAACAAAAGAAAATGTGAGAAACGGCACCATGAAAAACAAACAACTTTGAGCATATGCAGTGTCCAGAGACACACCAGAAGAGTAAAACTTTCCTTAATGTAAAGGTCATATAATTATTATATATCTAAATGTGTTTATATGCTATTTACTAACAAGGGCCAGCGCAATTTTATTGTGAAACTACAGCTGCCATTAGCAACTACTAATAGTGATTTAGCATCTACATCTAAGGGGGTTCTCCGTGATTACCAAGGACCATCTCCAAAGTTCCCTCTGCAGTAAGAAATGATTGTAACAAAAGACAATCGAGTATTACGGAGAGAAGAGAGACTACGATGTGGATGGAAGGAAAATGGAATGAATGTAGGAGGGATGTGATGAATGGGACTGCTTTAGTCTTCTTCACCAGCAGCAGCACCACGGGCAGCAACCACATGTTAGGTGGGAGGGTGAGCACAAGAGTGAGGTGAAAGAATTAGATGGCCAACTGAGGGGAGACTGGCTGGTCCCAGAGGAGAACGGACGCTAGGCGGGGTTATCATGCAGGAGAGAGCGGAAGGTGAGATCGACGCACCGGACCAGAGACCCAACACAACGCACGGCCCACTACACAAAAAATCACAAAGCAGATCATTCCAACAAAGAGGGTTGGTCATGAAAAAAACAAAACATGGCTGACATTTGAAAAAAGAGGATATTCCATTAAAAATTTGAAGAATATTAGGAAAAATATTTACTTAAAAATATAACAAAAATATGTCTCCACACATACAGCACCTCAAATACTCTTAAAAATAAACTCTGTAACAAGTATGTAGGTGTAAACTCTCATTATGTACTGTATAAGTGCATCTTCCCTCAGTACCCATACACAAAAAATATTACTTGTGAGTTTTGTTTGAGATTAATAATAAAAATATGATAACTTTAAATCAGTGTTCATTATCAAGAGCATAAATTCTTCAAGTGTGTTCTGTAGTGGTCATGTCTGGTTTATTAATATCATTGAACATCCTATAGTGAGCCACCGCACTAATGAACCCTTGTATCACACACTGTTAATTGAAGACTTAAAGTAATGCATTAAAACTTTATGTGTAGTGAATGTTTCTTGTGAGTGTGTGTGTGTGTGTGTGTGTGTGTGTGTGTGTGTGTGTGTGTCCCAATTATCCATTTCAACTCTTCAAAATCTATATAATGTATTTCAAAAACTAACTATCACCACACTTTAATCATATGACAACTGATGGAAAACAAACACAATTCATATCTTTACATTTTTCCTTTCAGCTTAAACTACTACAGTACTCACACTCAGCAATTCATACTCGACACTCAGAGTGAGGCACAAGAACACTTCCCCAGACGTGAACGACTTAACTCCTTGGTTACCACAAAGCTTCAACAACAAGCCACCACAGTGACTCCCATAAACCCACACACCTGGTGACTAGGTGTTATTTACGTCAGACACATCTTCAATATTCAACGAACTTCAGCCAATCATTATGAACTTAGTTTTATATTGAGGATGAACCACAAAATACTATTGTTACTGAAGTTTGCTTCAACAAACAATTGATGGGAAATGAATTTTGAATCCATAAATTATGAAAATGAACCTTATTAAAATTTCTCAATAATGCAAGGCATGGCCAATGTTGGAGTAATGTAGGTAAAGATGCCAAAATAATTAATTTTTTATTTTTTAGTTATTCACAAATACATTTATATGGGAAAACAATCTATTTACTTACCTTGAATATGGCAACAAATTTAAAACTCTTGCTGGCTATACTGTACCAATACTCCTTTATTCATTTAAATCCAGAGGCCATATCTTACATAGTAAGTCTACATTATTTCCTAATAAATTTTGACATCCAGCTATTATTCAGGTTTACTCTTTTCTGAATTAGTGACATCACCTCTCAAAAATAAGATTAATATATTCATTATTCACTTAGTATTACTGTACTTTTAATTCTGGTAAAAATATGAATATTAAGGTGACCCCATTAGCCATGTGATACTCTACATGTTTTCAATCATAATTGAAGCACAAGTATTAATGAATACTTTACACACTTTTCAAACAACAACAAAGCTATTGAAGGACTATGTGTTGTGGTCTATGGCTGGCAACAGTTGAAAATTTTTAAATAACTTTTCCTATTGCTTTCTGTATTAGATCTTATATAAGAGTTATGAATTCTGGACTTCTGCGATGACTGAAGATATCTATACTATTACTGAGGATGCAGTTTAATACTACAATATCATTATTGACAAGGAAAAATGTTAACTGTTGTTATGCAATAATTCTTTGACTGACTCTAGAATGACTTGAACTAGGGTGGATCAGTGTTACACTACACTGGTTTATTCAAATAAACTTTATCTTTTTATTCATACAAAAATAAATATTCAAAATATTCTTAATAAACTAAGCATTACCAGGGGGGGGGAGGGTAACTTCAATGCTCTAATAATGCCTTTTAACTTGAATTGTTGCTGGTACTTGTATGTATGGAGGCCGAGCTGATCAGAGATAATACCTTCACCAAGTACAGTATATGTATTTATGATGGATCAGCCATGCAGTAACCAAGGGGTTAATCAATAGAAAGAAAAAGATCTCTTAGCCAACATCAATATGACTGTAGTGATCAAACAGTATTCAAATATGTAATCTTTCCATTAATGGTCTTAAGAAAAGATATCAAGACAATGACGTCAATGTGGGGATTCTAGACAGGTCACCTTCCTTCTTCATGGCCACCATTGTGCTTGCTGTGGCTGTTGGGTAAACTAGGTGTGTAACAGTTATGTGATTATTGAGTTTATGTAGTACATGTGATTAACAAGAACATGTAATGAAAAAAAAAAGGTGTATTAGTTAAAATAGTGTTAATACTTATGAATGTAGCTACAAAATTTGTAATAAACATGGCAATGTTTTTTTTTACAATCGACTTCATGTGTTTGTCGTGAGACACACACACACACACACACACATAAAACCTGGTTGGAGAAACTGGGCTTTACCTACTCCATCTTGTATGGGGTTTGGTTAACAAGTATGAACATGTACAGTACTATATGGTAACCTAAAGTGCTGCTTCATAGTCTTAATGTTCTCACCTTGTTTAAGTGTGGTGTGTCAATATCAAGTTATTGTAAACAGCGTATTATGCTCACCTAAATTGGCACCTTTTTTAATCAGCAATCAATGACATAACTTAATGCACTTCTAAGTAATTATCTAATTTACTGTACTCATCTGGATTACCTTTTGGTAAAAAACTAATGGAAGTTTTATAAATTCAACAGAAATAATTCATAATGTTCTACAAAAACAATTCCTCTTAAACAAGCAATTGCTTATTAGAACAAAGGAGTTAACAAAATGAGCACCTTTTAGTATTTCATGTCTTTCATTTGAATTAAAAAACTATTTTCCCTTGAATAGATACAGTTGTGAAAGTGGGTTCCATAGGCATGACTGTCCTTCAGGGTCATTGGGATACTGCATGCTGTATACTAAGACTTCAGTACACAGGAGGCAGCATGGCCTACAATACACTTCAGTGCCCCAACTGTAAGGTTTGGTGCACATTTACAGCTGGCAGAATTGAGATTGCCCAGGGATTGAACCAGTAACCCTTAAGACAAAAGGTGAGTGTTGTATCAATTCAGCTTCTATGCCCTACACACAATGTAGTACAGTAGTAAGTCACTTAAGAATATTATGTAATATAAGTGTGGAGTGTTAACACACCCAACATTCTTTACTCAGCTAAAAACATCTATGCTAAAACCACTACTAAAGTAAACTAATTAATGTATAAGTAAATGCATTTCAAATTCCATTCTTCAAATAATTCATCTTTGTGTGTGTGCATTAATCCTTCCACTACATTTCCAGTGTGCAATACTGTATACAGACACCAAGAGATTGTCAAGTCTCATTACCATATCAAAGTAAAGTCTGAATTAATATTGCTCTGTTAACTGCATAATACAGCATGCTGTATAAAAGTGTATACTGTAGTTGTATCAGCTATTTCATCCACCTCACACTGTTATTGTTCCAGGAAAAACTGCACCACTAGTTTGAACAGTACAGTACAGTACAGTCCAGTACAGTACAGTATCGGAAACTTCAATAATAGAATATTTCACGAAGCAGCAGCTATCATCACAAACAAGTGCGACAGATCCCACAATACCTGTGACTACTGTACTACCAAACCAAAGAAGAAAAAGAAGTGACAGTGAATAAGCATTTGTCTGTCTGTTCTAAGCCCTGCTATATCCTAGAACAAGTAACCTTAAGATTTATTTAACCACAGTTCACCCAATAATGCTCTAAATAAATCAAACTTAACAATCTCAAACCATAATCATATCTGTTAAGTCACACTACATATTGGGAAATCCATAATAAAGTAAATTACTTTATGTTACAATAATTCTACATGTTTAATTAATTATAATAATATAATTGGTATAACCTGTGACGCCTTACAAAGTTAATTCATGATAATCTTAAACTACCATGCAACTATTCATGAAAGTAAGTAATTATCATGCAAAAGTTAAAATACATTACAGTATGTGGTTCATTATAAGTACTGTAGTGGCATATGTTCCTACTGGTTCACTATAGTATCCCTCACCCAGTGGTGTGTATGTAGAATATAAGAGTAAACAAAAGGACAGCCAGAGTAACCTTAAAAGATAACATTGTGTGTGAGAAATTAAGAGTTTTATCAGGAAAATGATGAATATCCAGAACCTAGCAGCCATGCCGTAGGTCTCAGAACACTGGGAGGGGGATGGCATATGCTCCCCACTGTACCTAATGGTCTCCCCTAAACAACAAAGCACCATTGATGTGTGCCTCCATGACAATACTGTAATATATATTCCTACACAGTGTAACACAAACAGTGA